GGGGGGGGGGGGGGGGGTACTTTATGGGTGGCCGTTTTTATATTTTATGGAATATATCTGTTATTTATGTTTGGAGAAAAAATTGTTCAAATAAAAGTTACTTCTAATATTATTATTTATAATTTTTGCTTTATGTAAAAATTTCCTGAAATGGTCCGTATTCGAGAAATTTGACAAAATGTGCAAAATTCTGATTTTTATGAAAATTTTTGAAATAAAAGTTGTTTGCGATATCGATCTCTATAATTTTTGTTTATGCATGATTTTTCTAAAATGGACCGTAATGCAAAAATTATAGGAAAAATGCTAAATTTAAATTTTTCAGTATTTTCGTTTTCAATGAATATCTATAGAAAAATGTTTCGAGGTAGATGTATGTAGAAAATGTATATATTTAGTTTATCCTCCTCTAAACATTTATAGAGGTGCTGCAATAGGTTGTACAAATAACCGGAAAAAGCCTGTAATAACTAGATAGGAAAGTCATGTGTTGGACACATCAGTTTTTTTTATTCCACTAAATGTTTCGTAATTATGTAATGGTCTAAACATTAATTTTACTTGGGGTTTTTGAATTGTTTTCTATAGACTCGTTGAGAGCTTGAAACCAGATAAAATATCTACGGAAAGAACACCACACTGTCCTAAAAACTTTTGAAATTATAATTTTAAGTATAATGCTATTTTTGTAAATAAGTATATAAAGTTAGGGAAATGTGTCTGTATTCGAATAGCTTGATGGCTGATTATAAACCCCTTTAGGATTGTAGAACATTCTACCAACTTAACTGTTGTATAGGTAATACATGTATGATAATTCAAATGAAAACTTAAAATATTATTATTATAATTAACACCTCAACCAGCTTACCTGTTGTATAAGTAATTCATATTAAAAAGCCGATGTCTGACAATTTAAATGAAATCATAAAATATAATTAACATCTCATCCAGCAAAGAAAATGAATAAAGATTTAATATGAACTCAAGGTATTTTATTTAATTATTTTACAGGTATCACCCTCATTCAATTTTTACAACTTTACAAGACATTGTTCTTGCAATCATCTTTTCTAAATTTCTGCTTCTCAAATCTAGTGGCGCCTCCGGGTACCCTTTTGATCTGAATTTTAATATTAATTTAATCGTACCTACAACCCATAGTGCTCACCGACGAAAGGCTAGCGGCATGTAGTTTGTAAGGAGGAAAACGTTTTTTTTTTCTCTGAACAAGATCACCGAAAACAAAATCATACTTGTCGAATTACATTAACTTCGTACTTAAAAAAAAAAGATCGTTTTAAGTTTACACCATTATAACGAACTTTGAATCATCGAAAAATATCAATATTTGACCGAGTTCTGAAACAATTTGTCCACCCGTTTACAAGCTAATCAGCATTGCTATAGAGATAAAGCAGGGGCTGAACGAGGGGACTTTTGATTGCGGTTATCTCGAAACCTGTCGAATTCCCGACAAAAATGATGGAGACCATTTTTGTAGATAATGATAAGATCTTTCTTTTTTATCTAATCAAAAATTCTCTAATTTGCATATTGTGGAAGATATTGGCGGGAAACCAGTTTTAGGGTCCATTTTGGGCCCTTTTCGATGCATCAGAGTTGGTAAAAGTTTTCGCCCTTGAAAGCAACCGTCAAGACCTAAGAATTGAGCCACAAAGGAAATCTGGACCGACTTAATGACAGCTTTGCATAATTTCAGATCTTCAGTTACTGGACTAATTAATTAAAATATTTAAATATATCAATATTCTACAGAGATATCAATAAAATATGAAAATTAAATATTTTGGGCATATCAAAAAATACATATGCCCGAAATATCTTTCTAGAATGTAGATTATGAAATATATTATGTGAATATTTCAAAAATGTTGCAATATATTTTGGAAAATAGGTAGATTGGTAGCATATGCTAGGGATATAGTGTGCTGTCTGGGATGGTACCATGCATTGACCCTGTCAGTGACAACAGGACCACAAGGTTGCTATACCTTAACTGTCAGTTCCCACTTGTTAGCATTTTCACAGGTCGTTCGAATGCCTAATAGTGACTTTTCGTGACGCCTGTAAAAATGTTATCTAATAAATGCTTAAAAAATAAGGCCTGTCTCTAGGAGTTCGTTAAAAAAAATCTCGTTAGCAATTTGTAAATATATATATTGTTAGATTCGTGCAATATTCAAGACGCCGCCACTGCCTAAGCGATACTTGGATCTTGGATATTGGATATACACACATACGCACTCGACGAGTAGAAGACCGAAAAATTAAAAAGACACTTATAATTGACCTGGGTTCCTATGCACACGTTTGACGCTCTCTAAAGTTAATAATTATTGTTAATAATTTTCTTGGTATTAATACATTTTATAAGAAGTGATTAAGTGTTTAATTTGGTGAATGTTCATATTTGAAAAGAAGACGTATTATTTTATTAAGAAAATCCAGTGGCTTGAATAAAATATAAACAAATAATCATTAAAACAAAAACAATCAATTAAATTTTAAAATATAATAAATCATAGTTGGAGATTTTCGAACAAAAACAAAAAATAAGTTCAGTCCGCGAATTTACGAAGCAGCTAACCCGTTATCTAAAACGAGAGCCGCCACAATCTTTTTAAAAAAAACACTAGTACCAGTAGTAGCGTCCGAGATACGAGGTAATAAAAGCTGTAACAAAACATTACTCCTCTTAACTAACTATGGATATGTATGTGTATAGGGCATCGCTCTGTATATTTATTACGATGGTCGCCGCCAATCGAGTTTGAAGTTTTTAGTACGTTCTCAAAGACCGTCGAGATAGCAGCGGAAAATAAACGGGAAGTGTCTAAGTTTCCTGGCGTGGGTAAATACCATGTGAATACCGATTGAGAAAAACTTATTGTTTGCTTTCTGTTGTGGTTGGTAGAAAAAAAGTGTTGTAACAGTCTAAATATTATGACAATTCAGGATTATAAAGTCGAAATGTTATTAAATTCGTTGTTATGAAAAAAAGTCGAAAATGAAAATATATCAATTATAATGGATAATGGTTGGCAGTTGATTTACATAATAGCCTTTGGATGATCACGTTTAAACTGCAAAATGATGTAAATTAGTTACATAGCTATCAATTTAATAACAAAGGTGTTTTAATATACAGTATGCGCCAAAAATGTAACAAAGCCCCATAACTTTTTTACGTCATGTACAAAAAATAAATGAAAAACTTTTTTGTTCCATAAAACAATTATTAAAGGTTTGACTGTTACGTTTCTGTTTGTATAATCATAATCAAAGTATAAGAATCATGCTTTCTTTTTACCTCGAGATTTCGACGGATTTTTACGTTTATTATTCCCTTTGATCCGTTTTTACTATTTTCGCGACGACGAAGACGATGACGTGTGTGCATGCCTAAGCACGTGTGCGGGTGTGCGTGTGCGGGTTATGGTGTGCGTGTGCTTGTGCGGGTGTTCGTGTGTGCGTATGCGTGCGCGTACGTGCGTGTATGCGTGTGTGTGCGCGAGCACGCGCGTGTGTTTACGTGTGCGTTTGCCTATGTGTACATGCGTGTGCGTGTGTGTGCGTGTGTGTGTGTTTATGCGTACGTTGCTTGTGCACACACAGAGACACACACACACATACACACACACACACACACATACACACACACACACACACACACATACACATACACATACACACACACATACACACACACATACACACACACACACACACACACACACACACACACACACACACACACACACACACACACACACACACACACACACACACACACACAGACATACACACACACACACACACACACACACACACACACACACACACACACACACACACACACACACACACACACACACACACACGCGCACGAACGCACATATATACACACACACACGCACGCACATATATACACACGCACACACGCACACACGCACACAACCACACACGCGCGCACAAAAACACAAATACATAAACAACACGAACACATTCTTACTAGAGGTCGACAAAAAATATGATTCATGTACTTTACTTATCTGTATACAGCTAGAAAGTAAAAATTATTTTCATGTTTTCTTTCAAACTAAAAATGAAGAAAACTAGTAATAATTACATTTGAAAATATTACAATTTTACAAATATTTACCCAGAACAGGTGCGTGTTAGGCACCACAAAATATGTTTTAATGCAATTTACCTTTATATCAAATTGTACCCCTAAGCGGTTACGGAAGCCTAAATTGGGGGCCATATATTTCAAAAAGATTTAATACCTCTGCAACCGTTTAACTTAAAAAAATTATATTTGGTATATTATTTAAGAGCATCATGTGTCTTAATTTGGGGATGAGTAAGAATTAGTTTAAATATTTTAAGGGGTGGTTTTTGGGTAACCCACCTTTATAACTATGCAGAACTTTTTTGTCCATTGGCCGATTTTTAAAATTTTCATTTTATTCAAAATTTTATTTTAAAGCTGTTTTGACTCTTTTTATTTTTTAATAAACTTAATATATTTTCAAGAAAAATGAGAAGACTTTAATTAATGCATTATGCTAATGTTAATAAATTTAACAAATAGCAAATTACTTTTAATAAAATCGATTTAAATAAGAACACAATTAAAACTAATATAATAATATCACCATAACAAAAATTAGTAAACTTTGACCCACTTTAGGCTGCTGCACAGGTATAGAGGTAAATTGGGTTAAATCATCATATTTTTGGGTGCTTAACATGCACCTGTTCTGTGTCGGTACTTATGCGGAACACCCTGTATATTATACCGTAAATATCAAACTTCTATATAATGAAATATGTGTATAAAAAGTTTTGTTTTATATTTGCTGTTAAATATTTTACACAAGAAACTTATTAAATGGAATAACTTTTAAAGAAAAAAAAACTGTGCAAAATTAAGACCTTCGTGACCTCCCACTAAATTTTCCACCTTAGCAATGGATAATTCGAATGGCAAAACTTCAAAACCTCAAAGACCTACAAGTTTAGATCTAAATTTAAAATCTCATGGTCTAGATTTAACAGAAATGTCAATATCTCCAACGTCATCATCAGATAACTCTAATATTCCTTTAATATCAGATGATAATGACCAAAAAATGGAATACCATCCCGAATTAGATGTTAATCAGAACTCTACAAATACACTTGGATTTCCTAGTAATAACTATAGACAAAAATCTCTATATCAATTGATTTCTTCACCTCCTTCTACGTCAAGTAAACCTAAAAACTTAATGGAAGCATTGCTGGTTGCTAAAATGGAACAGGCTGCTCTTGGTCGCCCGACCAGACAACTAGTGAGGACAGACAGTGCAGATTCTGCTAGTTCTGTTGCATCTGTCAATTCTACAACTACTAGCGATGTTTGTAAGTGTGATGATTGCTTGCTAGGAATTGGGGATTACTGGCAACAAGATGCTAGTAACGATAAAAAGGAAAAGGTAAGAAAAATATGTTCTTAGATATAAAATATTTTGAAATCATATTTTTAAAGTTATTCATATGTTCTAAATATTTGGTTTTAAATTAATTTTGCAAAAATTACTCAAACAAAGTAAGCTACGTTATAAGGTTAGGATATCGGCTACTTAGTGAAGATGCTATCTATATTCTTTGTTAAAGCATACGCATAATGACAAACTGGACAATATAGGCGTAGCTTTTTTTACATTTCACTAACAACATATAAAAAGTCCCAAATGATAAATTATATTTCAGTTAACGTCCATGACCGAGAGATATGAACCTCATTGGTTCCGTCCCTCCTGACTCGAAGGTTAAGTTATTAAAAGCCTGATTTACACCACAAATACAACTGTATAGCAACTGTGAATACTAGAATAGCTACTTTTGTCAAAATTAATATACGGTTACTATAAAAATAATACAACTTTTAAGTGTGGTGTAGATCAGGCTTTTAACAACTTAACCTTCGAATCGGAAGTGCCGGGAAGTCAAGTGAAGTGTAATTTTATCATTTGGAAATGGTTACATTTAGTTGGTGGACTGGATTGAAATTAAAACAAAAAACATAATAAAGTAAAATGTATTTTGCTAATTGTATCTCAAGCAGGCCTTTTGACGATCTGAGAGGTAGTCATCCTTATAGACATCTCATCTGAAAGGCAGCATCTTGAGGATGCACAATGGGGCTATTGAGACCTAACTAATGTAAAGGGAACACACCTAACATGTACAGATTACAAGCAATAAATAGTAGGCTTTGCCAAATCATTAGAAAAAAATATGATAATGTTATGTGAGCCATTTCATTATTCAGTCATGCTCTAATCCTCCAACTCCTTCTCTGTCTTATTTGGCCTTTGAGGCTCAACTTGAACGATTATCATACATAATTAAACCCCTTAAGACCAAACATATGTGACGACTATGGCGGAGGCACTTTCGCGAACATTCCTGAGTCATCATGATAATATTTCTGGTCTATTCCGGATAAGAGATATTTTGGTGGAAGAGCATTCTGGATCACCAATTTGTATATAAATATTGGTGGAGGATCAACGAAAATAATCAGTTATTATATGGACAGTGAAGATAAATAGTGAACAGTTTAAAGACATTCGAAATATATTGTGATGTAAAGAAAATGTGAGCATGATACAATGAAACCATGACACACAATTATCTCTCAAAAACTTTAAAATATTTATTAAGACTATAGCAAAGCCAATATAATAAATAAATCTATTGTTATATATGTAAAGAAAAAGGAAACTGACCTTATATTTTAAAGTAAATCCAACAAAAGGGTGCTATAATTTAATTTCAGGCAACAAAATATTAACAGCAGACAATATTCTAGTAATCCTTGGCATACGAACATCATCATAATCTAAAAATGTAATTAATTATAATAAATAAATACAGATTCAACACAAAATTAAAAAAAAATTGGATGATAAAATTTTAACACCCTGTATATCAAAAAGGTTGTTAAATCTTAAAAAAATAAACTGACAAGGTACCAACCTAAAATTTTGTGACATAAAAATTCAAATTACTTAAAATTGACAACACAGACATGAAAATAACTGTTGTCAAAATTTAAAAGAAATGGTTGAAAAATTATTTATTTAATATTTAAAATAAACTCTTACCATTAAAACATGGTGGAAGAATACAGGTGAAGCGGTAAGCGGTACGAAATTTGGTCAGTCTTGCGCATGACGTCACCTTCGGAGCATATTTTTGTTTTGCCTATGTCCCCAATGTTAAAAAGCGACTTTTAAAGTTATTCTAATATTTTCCTGGTAGTGTTTAGAAGTTTATAGATATATTTATCTTAATATTTAATATCATTTCTATATATCTGGTACGTATTATTAAATTAATTTCTAATTAAGTTGGTAGTGTAATTGATATAAAGTTAGGTTATGTAACATTTTTGTTGTATTTTAAAGATAAAAAAAATAGTTTCTATTCATTATTGTTATTTTAATATATCATTATTATTATTATATTATTGATACATTAAAATCTACTATATTTTAGGGTGTGTAGTTACTAACAAAATGCCAGGTTGTGCAGTGTTTGGCAGCAAGAACTATTCAAGAAAAACAAAGGGAACAAATATAAAGTATTTTGGATTTCCGAAAACAGATATAGCCAAAGCCTGGGTCAACGGTTGCGGGTGAAAAGATACAATTAATTTGAAAAATGGTATGATTTTTGCAAACCTAATTTGAATATGATTAATTTTATGTCTTGTTTCTTTTTTAAGCTTGTATTTGTTCCATAAATTTTTCGAAGGATAGTTTTGAAGAACCCTTACAACAGAGGCTATTAAACTACTCCACTAAGACTGGCAAAAACTTAAAACAAACGGCAGTTCCTACTGAAAATCTCCCATTGAAAAAAAGACAATTGTCTGCAGAAAGTGACGATAGATTAAGAAGGCAGGCAAAAAGATATCGACAAACATTTATTGAGAGCTTTGTTAATATTTCGGGGCATTCCAGACAATTGTCAACTGCAGACCAGGACAAGGAGAATCAAAGTTTGGAAACAGACACTCAAAATATATTGGTATCATCAGAACTAGAAACGTATGTACAAATTTACCTTATTAACAAAAAATGTGGCTTTGAAAAGAAAATTACACAACTTAGCATGTACTAATTAACATTACAATCATTTCAAAACAATTTTTTTATTAAATATTAAACTTTGAAGTGATAATTGCTTTTATTTTAATATTAACTGTATGTTATTGTTTCAGATGTGACCACCGAAATGAAATTATTATTTTAGAGAAAACTATTAAGAGTCTTCGTGAAGAACTAAACAAAATTACTGAAAAATGCAACAAATCAAATATAGAAATACTTTCATTGAAAGAAGAAATTAGCCAGTTGAAAAATAATTCTCAAGTGGAAATTCAGGAAAGAAAAGTAAATGTTTCACTCCGGGTCAAATAAATGTTTTATACAATGAAAATAAAAAAGAATTCGTTGAAGTTCGGATGACATAGCATCCACAATCTCCCTAAGAAGCATTCGTCCTAAGGCTTATAGATTTTAAGAACTGTTCATTATCCTTTACCTGGGTTTACTACCTTAAGAGACTGGGCTAAATGTTTAAATTTAGAACAAGAAATATACATTATAAAGTGTTAAGCAAGATAAAGAAGTAAACATTATGTATAAACCATTTTTAAACATAAATAAATCAATTTAAAATAACACCTCTGTGTTTTTTTATTAAAATAAAGTATGTTTTGCCAAGTGTTTCTATTTATTAAATACATAAAGGGGTTTACCAGCACCCAACCATACAAGAAAGTAATTGATCTGTGCATACAAGTTATTGATGGCCATGTTTGATGACTAATTTAAAATTAAATTATTAAATTTATAATCTATAAAAGTAACTGCATACTTTCAAACTGATTATTTAAGAAAATTGGCGACTAAAAAAATATACTGATCATAATTCATTTCACCTTAATTTTATTGTTCAGCATTCGTTAACATTATACACAAGTTTATTTGAATCGATTCAAAATTATTTATTGTTGAAGAATTAATTACATTCTTATTAACAAAGATAGATAACTAAGTTAAAATTCAAAGGAAAAGAAACAAACAAAATATTCATAAATGAAATTTTTTATTTTAAAATTTTTTAAATTCTAATATCAAGACAAAATATAATATAAAAACAAAAATGCACAACCTAAGTACAAATATGACAATTGAGAAATATATATATACAGGAGTATACACATAAATTAAAATGAACTACTTAATTCAAGGAATCAGAAAAATTTATCCACTTTGTAGTATACCTTTTTGAGCAAGAGTTTCTTGCTTTTTTAAACATATTAAATGAGTCAGTACTTCCTATTATTAATTAATTGGCTAGAGGTTAAACATTTTTCCACTATACACAATACAAGGGACACTACATATTTCAGTTTCACATTTAAATTAGTTATTTGTATTTGCCTTTTATTAGTTCCAGTTTTTATCTGTACTGAGCCACTTAAACTTTTTAATGGTAATGTCTCTGTAAGTTTAGGTACGTTTTGGCTATCATCTTGATCTCAATCTATCAGATAGCAATGCTAGGTATGAAGATTTAAATCCTAGATGTAACATCCTCTTCCAAGTTTTGTGATGGAAAAATTCAGTTTCAGATGAACACTATCTTTTTTACGCCAAAGAGAAACTATATTAAGCTAAATTCCTTACACCATGGCTAAATTCGAAATAAATTACCTACTTTTTTTGTATAAAAGCACAAAATATTTTTTTTATTTGGCATTACTTTTGCACAAGCGTCTATCTGCCTATAGTGACTTTTCTTGTATTATTGAGCATAACTTGATGTTATTTGACGCAGTTGTTATTTTCTTCTAAATATATTTTCAGTTTTATAATGATTACTTATAGAACTAGGAAATAAAAATTAAACTGTTTGACAATCATTACAAAATGTAAACAAAGCCATGGAATGGCATGGCAGTGTATAGGCGGCCGTGGCAATACCGATGTTGACGTCATAAAACCTGCGCACCGCTTCACCTGTATCCTTACACCATGCCATTAAAAGATAATCAATTAAATATAAAAGAACCAGAAGACTTTTGTTCTGATTGGTTAAACATAATTTCAAGCCGTTGGATCCAATTTTTCTTTTGTTTCTGTTGATAAAACAAAAGCTAATATAGGGGAGTTTGGCAAGAATTTTTTTGTTGAAGATGCCACGCAAATTTCGTTTCTCTAAAAAGAAAGAAATATTAATGTAAAACTTATTACAGAAAGGTAGTACAATTTAAAATTGTTATAGTAATAGCGAATATTAATCTAGAACCTAGAATAACGTTCCAAAAATGTAAAATTTACATAATAAAAGTGAAAATTATAACATACCAGTGACGTCATGAAGACAAGTTGGAGAATTGGATGATTGGAGGTGTCTTTTGAAACAGTTTGAGATA